CTGAACGCAGGGAGAGGTGTGTTGTGGGGTTGAACACCTGGTTGAGACTCCTGAACGCAGGGAGAGGTGTGTTGTGGGGTTGAACACCTGGTTGAAACTCCTGAACGCAGGGAGAGGTGTGTCGGGGGGTTGAACACCTGGTTGAGACTCCTGAACGCAGGGAGAGGTGTGTTGCGGGGTAGGGGGTTAAACGATCTGGCCTTGTTTCCTGCTGGTTAAAACTGCCCTGGGATGTTTGATAATCACAGACGCGACATCACTCAGTTTAAAGGGGAACTGCAACAATATTTTGATTTTCAGGGTTAGAATCGCCATTGGTGAGTGCATTTCAAACCGTAGTAAAAGTAGGTACACAGAAACTTGTAAAACCTGCAATATACATCACAAAATAGACTGAATGTCCAGGTATGTGCAGTGCCATATTCTGTGATTCAGAATGAAGCAATAAAATGTCCAGTGATATGTTACGGCCTTATTACACTGTAAACAAGCAGGCTTGTGACTACGTCTCTTTTAATCCAATAGAAATATATCTCTACTTTGAAACAGTTTGCTGACAAATACTTGTTAGCTGGATGCAGATCACATTGGAAACCTTCTGCAATAAAATATCTCCTGCTCAACCAGTACTTAATTCACACATACATTGTGTTACATTAGTCATTACAGTGACTAGAGAGCAAGAAGGGCTAGGTCACGTCACAATGTGTGGGAACTGTCACTCTCACCTGTAGCGAGACCAGGGGTTTGAGACAATATGGCGGCTTACAGAACAGAATAAGTGCAAGTGCTTTATTAGAAGGATAAGAGGAAGGGGGACCCCACTCTGTGTCAGGTGTGGGAAGGGGAAAGGGGACCCCACTCGCTGTACAGGACTGAGTTGGTTTGGTGGGACATTCTTCATTACAGGAGCAGGAGATTGATTCAGTATTTATTGGCCTTTATATCCTCAGATACAGAGACGGAACAGAGCACAACATTCATTAGCTGGTGTCTTACAAAGCTAAGGTCTTAACATATCTCCTTCGTTACGACTTCCTGTTGTCCAGTGATCCTGCATCGCTGACACAGGCGTATTCTCTCACATCCTGCTCACCTTTTCTACATCCTTCAGACGTTACTGTGCCAGCTCTGAACCGAATTCTTTGTCAAACATAGAAAACTAAAACCAACTTGTTTTAGGGAAAGGCGTTGAACTGCTGACTGCATGTTTCTTTGCAAACCCTTGTATCGGCACCTCTAACAGTGACTTTACATTATAGCACAGAGTAAGAAATGCAAGTCAAACACCATTTGAGCTTCTTCATCAGCCAATTTTGTACTTTTCTTTCTACTGTATGTATTGATATGCCAGTTATTTTACATGTAAAAAAACCTTCAACGTGTGCCAGTTTGTGTTCCACTTCAGTCGGCTCCTTGGACTTGACATTCAGCTCCTGCCAAAGTGGTGCATCATGGGAATCCTCGGAGTTCAGGTGCTGGGTGTCTTCAAGTCTTGGTTAGATCTGCCTGTTTCTCAGTCCAAGCCATTCTTTTAAAGAGACTGCAGCTCCTGACTGAATTGGGATTCTCTGATTTCTGGGAGAGCACACCATCCTTGACCCTTGGTATTATTCCTGTCATCAACCCAATGGCTCTTGCTTAGACTTGTTGGAATGTGTTCTAAACAGACTTAACTGGTTAAAGAGTGATCAGAATACAGACGTTTTTAAAGGAGTAAAATGGGATAACTTCTAAGCAGTACACCAGAAATGAAAATGAGTGACATAACTGGATGTGCAGTGTGAATACCACAATTGTTCACGCAAAAGGAATTTGTGTTCAATGAATTCGTTGTATTTAGGTTTTCAATTTTTTATGTTAAACTTAAATTTTCCAGTTAAAATTTGGATTATATACCCACCCGAATTGGACTCGCTGTTCTGTCTGTGCAGTTCTTGAATCTGCATTCTGGACGCGGTCAGCTCAGCTGGGGGAGACGGTCGCTCCTCCGCTGCACCAGGCGGCGCTTGACTTCCGGCAGAGCTCCCCCAGGCGCTAACTAAACAACATCCGGGTCGCGTCCTGGGTTTGCTGTCGCATTTCTTGGAAGACGGCTCGAGGGAAACTGGCTTGAACGGTATCGACACCGGCCGAACCGAGCCAACCGGGATCGTCAGGACGAAGGCGGAGCAGAGAGTGTCCAGAGAGAGAAAGGAGGAGGGCGGGCCGGGAGAGATTTGGACTCTAGCTGGTGCGTCACCACGGTCATGGCCGTGACCCGCAGTTGTCAGAAACGACACAGTAGTGGTTGTGACACCGCAGCTACACACCGGTCCGGGACGCCCGCGGAGACAACGACTCCGGGGGGTGCCGGGTGTGTTGGCGCGTATGCTGTGTGTCCAGTGAGTAGTGTGTGTGGGTACAGTGTGTGTGGGTACAGTTAGTGTACTTGCTGTGTGGGTACAGTGTGTGTGTGCTCGTTGTGTGTGATTACAGTGTGTTTGTGTACTTGATGTGTGGGTACAGTATGTGTAGGTACAGTGTGAGTATAGTGTGTTAGTGTACTTGCTGTGTGGGTGCTGTGTGTTAGTGTACTTGCTGTGTGAGTACAGTGTGTTTGTGTGCTCGTTGTGTATGAGTACAGTGTATGTAGGTATAGTGTGTTAGTGTACGTGCTGTGTGGGTATTGTGTGAGTTCAGTGTGTGTCTGGGTTCAGTGCGTTAGTATACTTGCGGTGTGAGTACAGTGTGGGTGTGGTGTGTTTGTGTGCTTGTTGTGTGAGTACAGTGTGTTAGTGTACTTGCTGTGTGGGTACAGTGTGTGTGGGCGTACAGTGTGTTTGTGTGCTTGCTGTGGGTACAGTGTGCTTGTGAGAACAGTGTATGTGTGAGGATGGTGTGTTCATACACTGTGTTTGTGTGCTTGTTGTGTGGCTACAGTGTGTGTGTGGGCACAATGTGCTTGTGAGTATGGTGTGTGTGTGTAGAGTATGTGTGCTTGTTGTGTGGCTACAGTGTGTATGCTGTCACAATGTATGTGTGTGTGCTTGTTGTGTAAATATAGTGTGTGTGAGTATAGTATCCTTGTGGGTACAGTGTGTGTGCAGGTACAGCATGTATGTGAGTACAGTGTGTATGCGTGCTTGTTGTGTGAGTAGTGAGTATGACTTGTGTGGTGTGTGTTGCAATGGAAATGCAAGTGCACTGCTGTCCTGTGCCTTGCGGTGATTCTCCAAGCTGCTCACAGCGGGAGCACTGTGGCTGCTGGAGTCGTCCAGTCAGGCTGCAGGAAGGAGAGGGTGACAGCAGGACGCTGGACACTGCAGGCCTGTCGTTACGAAGATGTTGATTGAATTATTGACACCCGGAGCTCCACCGTAATCAGTTGGGGGTTTTAATGGAAATCCCCTGTTTTAACTGACAGTACAGGTGCTGAGGCTGTGCGGGTGTGGAGCTCAAGAGTACAGTTCCCCTGTGCTGTCAGGGAAACAGATCTTGTTGTGACTGGGCGTGTGCTGAGCCAGCCCTGAGCATGTTTCCCTTCCCTTCAGATGTGCCGAGCGCCCCCTGGCTGTGGCCATGAGTAACAGCCACCCTCTGCGGCCGCTGGCCTCGGTGTCGGAGATCGACCATGTGCACCTGCTGTCGGAGCAGCTCGGGGCGCTGGTGCCGGGAGAGGAGTACAGCGACGTCACCTTCATCGTGGAGGAGAAGAAATTCCCTGCACACAGAGTCATTCTGGCTGCGCGCTGCCACTACTTCAGGTACCCTGACCCTGCACTGACCCTGCCCCACATTAACACTGACCCTGACCCCACAGTGACCCTAAACCCAGATTAACTTTGACCCCACAGTGACCCTGAACCCACAGTGACCCTGATCCCAACACCACATTAACAATGACCTCGCACTGACCCTTATCCCATATTAACAGTGACCCCACAGTGACCCTGATCCCACCGTGAACCTGATCCTGCACTGACCCTGACCACATTAGCATTGACCCCACAGTGACCCTGAACGCACATTGACCCTGAAACTACATTAACAATGACCTCACACTGACCCTGACGCCACATGAACACTGACCCACCACTGACCCTGATGCCACATGAACACTGACCCACCACTGACCCTGATGCCACATGTACACTGACCCACCACTGACCCTGATGCCACATGTACACTGACCTCACACTGACCCTGATACCACATGAGAACTGACCTCACAGTGACCCTGACACCACATGAACACTGACCCCACACTGACCTCACATTAACGCTGACCCTGACCCCACAGTAACACTGACACACTACATCAGGTACACTAACAGAGCGACGCACTGAGTGACTGACACACTGACACTACTTCAGGTACACTGGCAGAGTAACAGGCTACCTGGTCCAGTTTCCTGCCTTGTTTCGGGATCAAGAGGTCTGTGTGGGCAGGTGTTGTTTCCTGTACAGGTAGTTGTGCTGATGGAGGCTCAGTCACGTAGCCTGAGGGGTGAATGGTCTCCTCTGGCATGCAGCCTCTCTGATGTGCACTCCTCTCCCTGCCTCTTCTTGCAGGGCCCTGCTGTATGGAGGGATGAAGGAGTCCCAGCCTCAGGCAGAGGTGTGTCTGGAGGAGACGCGGGCCGAGTCCTTCTCCATGCTCCTGCAGTACCTGTACACGGGCCGGGCCAGCCTGAGCTCGGCCCGCGAGGAAGTGCTGCTGGACTTCCTGGGACTGGCGCACCGCTACGGCCTCCAGCCACTAGAGGACTCCACCTCGGAGTTCCTGCGCACAGTGCTGAGCACCCACAACGTGTGCCTGGTATTTGATGTGGCCAACCTGTACTGCCTGCAGGCACTCAGTGCCGCCTGCTGCTCCTACATTGACCGCCACGCCCCGGAAGTGCTTGCCAGCGATGGTTTCCTGTCCCTCTCCAAGGTGAGAGGTCACACAGGGAGGGGGGCACACTTTGGTTGTCAGTTTGGGTGTGAGGAGTGGCTACGCCTTAAGAGTAAACACTGTTCTCTGTTTCTTTTTCCCCAAAGGGGATCACTTGTGCCCCAGTGCAGCTCTGTGGAACGTCACAGGGTCGCTTGGGTATGCTCTACGTGAGCGTGTAAGAACTTCAGGAGGGGTGACCTTTTAGGGGAGATGCTAACCTTGTGGTGTTCAGTCATAATCCCACAGCCAGGCACAGACACCCGATATGTGAACCTGTGGTTCCTCCCGTACTGTGCAGAATTGCTGTTATAGCAACACTTCATCAATGAAGTATTTCACTCGGGCCTTCACTTAGGAGGAAGTCAGCAGCAGAACAACCATCAAGGATGAAGTAAAATATGTTTACGACTTTAAAGGGAAACATCTAGACGATAAGAGGGAAATGGCTGATTGCCAAACCAGTGTTTCACTCAGATCCTCACTGAGGAAGAATCATCACCAGGTTTCAGGCAGCAGGGGGACACAGTTCTGTTTTGAACAGCATCAGGACAGTAGAGGGAGAAGAGTTTCAGGTACTGAAGGACTCAAGATTAATAAATCCCAGGGCTGGTGGTGTCTTACCAGCTGTAGTCCAGGACATGAGAGATGTGATTTAGAAGACAATGAGACAGCTCTTCCAGCTGTCCCTCAAGACAGGGCTCGTACCAGGGACTGGAAAGCTACTGGACAATACAGTCATTGTAGACCAGTCACTCTGACTTCTGTTCCAGTACACTCCCTCAAGACAGGGCTCGTACCATGGACTGGAGAGCAGCTGTTGTAGAGCCCATCCACAAGTGTTGACCGGTCCCATTATAGACCAATAAGTTATATTGGTGACATTGATACTAAAAGATGGGACCCAGAACAGCTTGACGTGACCTTGAACTCTAAACTTGGTGCCTCCCGTCTGACGGCTTCTGGAAAGTTTTCCAACCTGTTGGCTGGAGCCAAAATGATTTGCACGTCACCCTGATAGCCTCCTGCCTCTTCTCTGAGACCCTTCCGTCACCTCTGCTCCGCTGAGGGCAGTATCGGCTGCGTCTTCTCCTGAGCTGCTGCCTGTACTGGACCGTGCCAGTCGAATCCGACTCCCTCAGAAGCTTCACACAGTGAAGTTTCCCAATGGTGCAGTAACCCCTCTCTCTCTTTCTCTGCAGTCGGCCCTGCTCACCGTGGTCCGCAGAGACTCCTTCGCGGCTCCAGAGAGGGAGATATTCCAGGCGCTGTGCCGCTGGTGTCAGCAGAACAGAGAGGAGAACGCGGCGGAGGTGATGGGGGCGGTGCGCCTGCCCCTCATGAGCCTGACGGAGCTGCTGAATGTGGTGCGTCCCTCTGGCCTGCTGTCCCCCGACGCCCTGCTGGACGCCATCAAGACCCGCTCTGAGAGCCGTGACATGGACCTCAGCTACCGCGGCATGC